TAGAAATTACATCCAATTATACTAAACATTTATACTTTTAACTCAAAATAAAAGAACACTTTTTAAGAAGTTATAAATGGAAGAATCAAGTTATTTCAGTAATATGTTGTTAAAATATTTCAATAAAACTGTTGGGACACATATCTATTCAAAACATTTACAGAAGAGAAGAGTAATAAAAACTCCCATTATATGATTTAGACACAAAACTTGTTCATTAGATTTGTTGATTTTATATTTTATAATTTTAAAAATCTTTAACTAAAATCACCTTTAAACTTCCCTTTGGTTTAAAATATGTAAGTTATGTCAATTATGGAGAAACAACATTATATATATTGCACAACAAAAACAACATAAATAAGTCAAATAACTTAACTGTTGTGGAAGAAAAAAGTGGCACTTAAGTCTTTAACTACAGTGAAATAGAAAACAACACAAAACTGCATATTAAAAATGAACAACAAACGATCCTAGTTATGTGCAGTTACAAAGCAAATGGCTACTTGAACAAAAAAATCAAATGATAAAATAATGAATATAAGCGACATGTGAGACATTAGCATAAATATCATACAATACAAATAATTATAACATGCTATTAATTATATAACTTATTTAAAGAAATTTAAATATAGGTATAAATAAATGCTGGAAAACCAATAGACAGAGAGTATATACATGTAGCAGAGATGCTGAAATGAAAAATATAAAGCTGCCATGCTTCAAAAGAGGTGCGAGGAATATAAATCTGTGTGCGTACAGAAAGGGCTTTACAAATTTTCTTACAGAGCTATTACCAGATTTTCAAGAACATTTTGTTTTCAGCATTATCTAATGGTATTTTCTTGGGACAGGAGGTAGTACATGACATCATGTGGTTCACCAGCTCTTCAACATCAACTTCATGAATTTAGCAAACATGCATGTGGATTTAATGCATAGCACCTTACTCAATTATCTACAAGAAATGATACTGTGTGTAGGTAGGTGTGTGTGTGTACATATGATAAAAAATGTGCGAAGAAAAATTTTAACTTTAATTAGCAACATTTGTTTAACTCTCCATTTTAATTTAATTTCCTCCTTCATCCTTAAAATCGTAATTCTTATAATAAATCTCTCTAAGCTGCATCATTTCAAAAATAATCCATGATTCTTATATAACACTGTATCATACAATACGAATAACTGCACTTAACTTGCAAAAGACTTTAGACTAATAATTTTAGAAAGTTATTAATTAGCAAATCAAACTACCCCTAAACCAAAATTAACTAATTTTGAATGAGATTTCCTCTTTAACACACCATATTTCCCTTTTTGCTTTTGTTACTAGTTAGCCTACTGCTCTGTATGTCTTCAAAATATATTTCAGAATTGTATCGGTACTTACATAGTTCTTCAAGAAAAGGTTTAATTAGTGCACCACACCATTTTATCTATGCTGATGTGAAAATTCTTGTCAAAGAGAATAAAAAATATTTAAATCAGGCATGACTGCAAGCTTCTTTAAGTATCAATATCTGTGTTTGACATCCCTGTTTATTTCCCATTTATATATATATATATATTGTTACAGATTTGGTAGTTAAATAGTTAATGATAGTACAATTATAAATAAAATTGTTTTATTCCCTGTGCAGTACAGCGCATGACGAATATTAAAAGAAAGCTAAGCTGGAACATTAAAAATACAAGAGCATGTGCATTTAACATTTAATAAATAAATATCTCTTTTTTATTTCGATAAATCAACATGTCGATAAATCAACATGTTTCGATAAATCAAAACAATCTTGCATGTGATTTAAAAAACTTATAAAAAGGAGGAAAACCTCTCAGTTCAGTTAATTGTTGTTTTAAGAGATTGTTTAGAAAACTGCTCTTGTTGACTGTAGCGAATTCGCGGACTAGCTTTCTCCAGCTATTTTGAATTAAATTTTGATGAATGTTTGAGTAGTTAAAAGATAACTACTGTGAGATATTGCACTATTGTAAGAATATCTGAGGAAATTTAAGCATTTTGTTTTATTTATTTGTGATAATAATAAATCATTCATTTTCAGTGGACTTGTAGATTCAATTCATAATGAACCCGTTGCATGCAACAATATATATAATAGACCTTAATTATTATCACCTAGGAATAGAATGCAACTTAAATAAAGTAAATTAAATCAATATGTAACTCAACTAATTTAGAAATGTTAAATATAAAAGTCATATTGGGGTTGTGAATAGTAGCCATTAAAAACGCTATTAAAGCTTACCTGAACATATGTACAATGAATTATAAAATGATAGAAATGAACTAAATGCCCCCCCCCCCAAAAAAAAATTTAGAACAGGGAAAAAAAGTAAAAATCAAAATTAAATTATTGTTTACTTGTGAAAGAAGTACTGACTTTTCAAGGTAAAATCATTTTCCTTTAACAGATGCACAATAATTTGGGGATTATCATGTTTTGTCACAATCGATCCTTGAACAATTACTATATCAATAAATTACTTTTGCTATATACATACACACACAAAAAATGTAATTTAAAGTTCAAATATGTATTCAGTAATGATTAATAATGCAATAATGAGATATATTCATAACAATGTAGAAAAAGGAAGGAAATTAAGACCAAGAGAAAGACAATGTAAAACAAAGTAAGCAATAGCTTACTTGGAAGTTGAACAATAAGTTTAAATACAAAATATTATTTGGCCTAAACCTGTATTTAGTTTCATATTATATTTTTGGATTTCCCATAATAATTAAATGTCTAATTCCTTTGCACATAAGTTTTTGCATATACTTTATTGCATTGCTAATTTTATTTGTCTTTTTCTTGGTATTTATTTCCCCCTTTTTCTGCACTATTATGAATGTGTTCCATTATCGCATCAGGAAAATCAATCATCATTGAATACATATTTAAACTTCTTTATCTTTTTTAATTATCTTTTTTGTTGTTTTTGTGTATAGGGAAAGTAATTTATTGGTTTCTATTCAAGGATCAATTATGATAAAATGTGATAATGTCCAAACTATTGTGCATCTGATAAAGGAAAATGTTTTCCCCTTGAAAAGTCAGTTCTTCTTTGGCAAATAAACAATAACTTAATTTTGATTTTTATATTTTGTTTCTATTGCAATTTTTTTAACATTTAATTCATTGGTATAATTTTGTGATGTATCATATATATGTTTAAGTAACCTTTAATAGCATTTTTAATACTTAACTTTAATACTTCATGAGTGAAATAGGACTTTTATATTTCACACTTCTAAATCAGTTGAGTTGCATATGAATTTAAATTACTTTATTTAAGTTATAATATAACATTGAAACACTATTTCTGGAGAGAAAAGTTAAATTCTAGTATTAAATACAAATGTATATAATCTTAGTAGCAATAGTGCTGGATTCTTTAACTTCTTCTTCCATTTGGTTTTCAATTTAGTCCTATATATATATATATTAGAAAAGAATTTACATAACTGATTCCTATCTTGTTTATAACTTAATCCTTTAAAGCTGCTAATATTTTTAGCATTAAATCAATCTAGTAACAATTAAACTGAACTAAAACTCTTCCAAGATATTTTGATACTGAACACAATCAAAAGTTCTAAAATAAACTGTACATGCCATTTTAATACTATTTGTTTTCTGTCACAATTACAGCATCTTAAATTAAAACAGTATCTTAATCTAATAACAGAAGATACAAGAGTTGCAAAAAGAAAAAAACACTGTATTTTTAAAGATTCAAAATTCCTGTACTTTAATATACATATTTAATCCTGTACTTTAATACCTGTATCACACGGTCCTGATTATCCATGATACGACAGACAATCGCTACCTTGGAAGAGTGAAAATTCCAATGAAACAAAATTTACAAGTGTTATAAATTTCACCAGATTATATCATACAGTAGCACTTTTAAGCCTCCTTGTATCTTAGCAAATTCAACATTATATAAAAACACAAAAGAGAAATATACTTTCACACTTATTCTTGTAAATGCATCATTTAAAACACAACTTATATGTATATGAGTTTAAAGAATAAAAATACATTTTAATATGAAATGTCCATCTCATAATGAAGTTTAAAATGAATGATATTTTAGGATTTTCAACTTTCTAGAAAATATCCTTTATTTTTTAAAAACGTTTGTTGTAGAATTAAATTTTTCTTTATTGTTAAAATGCTCTGCAAGCAGCTAGGTATCAAAATGTTAACAGGATATTTATAGTATCTTCTTACTGTTTAATATTAGAAAGATTCATATGGAAAATACTGCTCTGATGACATTTAGGGTATCAGCATTGTGTGGGTTTTTCATTTATAAGTGTAGTATTCAAGACAACCTTTCTTTCAAGTCCAAGAAAAATAGACTTTCATTCGTTTGTGTCTCAAATAATGGGGAAGCTGCTAATTCAAAATTTGAATGCAAAGCATTCGTCAAACGTTACTAGAAAAGCTTAATGAATCAGTAACACATTTACCTAGTTAATTTTTTTTTTTTTTTACTATGCTGCAATATTCCCTCTATGATGGCAAAATTTTTTTTTTGATCATCAGTGTTCTAAGACATTTTAATACAGCTTAACACATTTACGGGTATGGAAACAATACATTAGGCTTATCAAATATATAAGATAAAAATGCTTGTATAGATAACATTTACGGTAAGGCTATTACGATGAAAATTCCCACATAAGTTTAAATGCCAATAAAATCCTTTCACAATGACCAATCAATCTTTTCAATAATTTTCAATGAATACTGACCATTCAGATAACAAGAATCTTCAGTACAACGAAGACTAAAATGTGATTTTTAAAAACAAAATTCTAATACTCTCACAGAAATGAATGAAATGAATTTTTTAAAATATTAAAAAAAATTTCATAAAAACTTATTATAACAACATGTATATAAGATAAAAAGTATACTAAACATAAAAAAAAAACAACAAAAAAAAAAAAAAAAAAAAAAAAAAAAAAAAAGGGGAGGGGAGAATTGTATAAGTGATTTATCTCAGCATAGTAATTTTGCTCAGAACTAAAAAGTATGAGTATACAATGCCATGACAGCAGAAAAAGCTTTAATTAGTAACAAGGATTCTCATCCTCCTATAACACTTCAAAAGTGAATCATGCATGCTTTCATTTCATCAATTCCATCATATTCAGTGCTTTACCTGCATTTAAAATACACAATCCCAATTCAATTAATGAGAGCCTCTTTGGTTCATAAATTAAATTTTTAAAGTAGTAATACACAAATATTTATTTTGAAAACATCTAGGTCTTTAACTGTAACAGTGACGATAAAACAATAAAGTTACCTAAAAATACATTAATTTGAACTTCGCTTTTAATACAAAAAAATATTATCTGGTACTTTTCCCTGCTTCCTTTATTACTAATTTTTTAAAGAAAAGGCAGGGATGCATAGGTGGGAACTGTCAACAGGTTCTAAAGTAAAATTTCAGCAGAATATGGATGAACTGATATGATACATATCACTTAATTTATCATTCTTTGATATATGATGGTGAAAAATTCATGAAGTGGTTACATGTAATGGGGGTTATCACATCTAATGACATGCAAGGCTAGGAGAAAAATTTCTGAGAAACGAGTATCTCCTTCTACCATTGGAGGATTCTTAACTGAAACATGTTTTGCTGGCAACTGATATCCCAGCTAGCTATGAGGGATATTTAACATTTGAAATGAAAATGCTCCACTTGAAGCTTTGGACCTCAAAGGTTTTTCTGACAGGACTTGTTTCTGAGATAAATCAACCACTGTTAGTGATACCAGTTAGAATACTGCAGACACAAGAACACATATTGAAATGCTATTCATAACGTACTCTGAAAGATAGTCAAGAACTAGAAAAAATATATTAAAGTGACAACTTTTATGATACGGAAGCTGCAACACAAGGATTTAATTCATTTACTGATTCAAAATGTTTCAGATGCATCCATATTTTTTCAAATAAAAAACAACAAATTATTATAAATTTTAGCAGGTTGTTTAAATTACTATCTCCCCCAAGTTAAAATTATTTTCTTTTAAAATATTGATAATTTAAATTTTGGAATAGTTATGAGAAATGCATAACATGACAAGTATGAAAGTATAAAACTCAATATTTCAATCAGAAAGTACAGAGTACACAAAATATGGTGCAGTGAACGGATTTTTTTTTTGTTTTTTGTTGTTGTTGTGATAATACAGATACTTAAGAATAGTATAACATTTTGGGCAATAAAATGCTTGTTAAATTAAATAAAACTGAAAGATCACATTCATTTGCATTTTAAAATACACTTTATATAAGTAATGGATATTTTTCAGTGACTTGATATAACAAATACAGTTAAAGGAAATAAGTGAATTAAGTAGTGTGCCTTAACTTATTCCATTCCTGAAAATTTTGGATTTCAAATTACGTGTGGAATACTTTAAATGCTCTAATAAAAATACAAATTTAATCAATAACTCCTGAAAATACCTCATACCTAATAAAAACTTTGAATAACCGCATCATTAGAAATATATGCAATTCCAATTTTAGAAATGATGAAACGTTTCTTCAGATTTGCTGGAAATTGGGCAATATCAAGGTGGCATGACTAACATGTGTGATGCATCTAAGGATCAGGACTATATATGCATAAAAACATCAAGAAAAATTTAAAATTCTACTATTTAAAAACAAATGCATGTTTTAAAATTAAAATTTTTGTCTTGTATCACATAAAATTTTAATAAAACTACAGAAAAGTTTTCTGTGTTTTAAGAATGCATAATAAGCATAGAATATACATGCTTCTTCCTTATTCAATCTAATCAACATATTCAAGGTACTTTACTGAACTCAGCAAGTTCATGAGAAGCATCTAACTCTATACTTAACATCATTCTTGAATATGCTATACTGAGCTAAAACTTCAAAGTAAAGTCTTTGAAACATTATGCCCAGATACTGTCACTCTTTAAATATTGAGAAATATGCAGAACATTTCAGTCATATAACACAAATAATATGAAAATAGAGACTTTGGCATATGCACCACAGTGCACTGTATTTCTTTGTAGAAGATATACTTCACTTATTTAGATTCACCTGCAAATACAAATAAACATTACAATTGAAATTACCTTTACATTGTGAAAATGCAAATTATAAACTTTAAATTCACTTTTATCATTACAAGCAGAATCATAAGATTTATTTACAGCAACCGCTTAGCATTTCATGGAGAAATCAGTTACTCATCATAAAACAGAATATAAGTAATTATGTAACAAGAAAAAAAAAATCACATTATAGCACTACAGTACCTGCCATTTATTAAACTCATTGGTTAATAAACTCAGCTGCTTATTATATTCAAATTTCCAGGAACCAAAACAAATATATACTAATCAATAACCCCCATTGGCAGGGACAGGGTTCGATCTAGACCTGAGAGTGGGTGCAGCTGCCAGGGCAGTGACACGCTACCATATAGTCTCTCCTGTCCCAGTCCGACATCGGGCCCCACTGGTAACCAGTTCCCTGGGCTGATAATGTCAGACATCATCCCTGGATCTTGACTGGGTTGGAATTTCCAGAACCGGCTGTTTATGGGAGGAAGCCCAGGGTTCTGTCTAGTAAATTGGCTAATGTCTAGACAGCCTCGACCTCTGGGGTAAATAATTAGTCTTCACAGGACTAGTGCTATCATTTATTCGGTAGTTGGTTCAGGCTTGGCAGAGACCATACTGGTATATATGTATCTGCTCCTTGGATGTGAGGCATTACATGGTCAGATTTGAAGGTTATGTGGGGAACTGATGCCCCTCGGTCAACACTTGGGGATGGACGATATCTTACATGTGAAGTCCTCCTGGGTTGGCCAATGGTGGTTGGCCCCTCTCGGATAGCCTCTGGAAGATTGGACACTTAATCTATGTAAGACAGTTTCTAACTCGCTAGGAAATGGGAGTCTACATCCTCTGGATTCCAGCCCCTCTCCATTTATTCAAGCCGTTTCCACAGCTTATAAAATTCAAACTGTCAAAAGACTTATTCTTCATATTGTTACAGACTTGGTATTTAGATAGCTATTTTTGGTAGAATTGTAATTAAAATTGTTTTATTTCCTCGTGTAATGCAGCGTGTGACAAGTTTTAAGAGAAAGCTAGACCAAAAAAGTAAAAATACAGGAGCATGCACATTTAATAAATAGATATCTCATAATTTATATTTAAATCGAAATAATGCAATTGTGTGTTAGCTGTAACTACAACTCTACTCTTTTGCTTTCCAGAAACCTCGAGGAAATTATGAGAAGCCTCTCGTGACTGATTAAACAACTTATAAAAGCTGAAGAAAAACATCTCAGTTCAGTGGTTTACTAAGTTTTTGTCGTTGATTGTAACGAATTCGCGGTGAGATCGGATTAGCTTTCTCCCCACTTTGGATTGAGTTCTATTTAACATTTTAGTAGTTTAAAATATAACTACTGTGTGATAGTGTGATAGCGCACGAATATCTGTGAGGAAAAAAATTTCAGCATTTTGTTTTATTTTTTGAGATACGAAAAAATTTTATTGGCTTTTTATCAGACTTGTGCTTTCAATCTATTACAAACCTCTATGCATGCAACAACATCTAGAATAAATTGTTTCTGGCTGATAACAATTGTTGTTCATTCATTAAACTTTCAGTTATGTAGTGCTTCAATAAAATGGGGTTAGCAGGAATTTTGGCCAGTGTAGTTAGAAGCAAGAACCTCTGGAGGTGTTGGGCACTTTTCCCTAGTCCCTGTCAGACCTTATTATTAACAAAAACAGTCCTCTAGATACACTGGAAACAAGTTCTTTAATTGTAAATGAGTGAGTGTTTCCTAGGATTAAAGAAAAGATGGTGCTTAATTGAGCTCTGGTTCCCTTTCTTGAATACTAGCTGACAGAGGATGGAAGTGCATACAGACACTAAGTTTTCAGGGCGTTCTCAGAAAGCATCATGAAATGCTTCTTTGCATTATCATATACTATCAATCTTTGAATGGGGAAAGGGGAGTGGTCATCACAGACTGAAGAAAAAAGGAAGAACAGATTATGCCTAAAATAACCATGAAGGACACGTCTTGACAGACAAAGTGCAACTTTCTTGCTAGCTAGAAACAGGAATTTTGGATTTGAATAAATGGCTGAAGAGAAATTTTTTATTTGCTGTAAGTGTGACTTGTAACTCATAAAAAATGTGAAAATAAAGTGATTTAAGTCTGAAAGAAAAGGATAAATTTCTCAAAGATTATATGGTTGGGTAAATGCAGTCAAAGAGAATCAGCATTAAAAATGAGAACTATGCAAACAGCATTCTGCAGTTTATTTAAACGAAGGGGAAACAAAACTGATAAAGTATTAGCAAAGGATGCAAATGTCTGTGCATAAGTGATTAAAAATTGAAAGACATTGATAACTGTTTTTCTAGAATAGTTTGAAGCTATGAGACTAAAAAATATTCCAATTTCTAGAGCTCTTTTAACCAGAAAAGCTTTACAATTTACTAAAATACTGGGAGAAAAATTTGTGCCATCTGATGGATGGTTCACAAGAGGCTCTTTTATGACTCTACATAAAAGAGAGAGATAACAACATTGTTTATCAGAAATTACATGGTGAGGAGGAAGGTGCAGATCATCAGTCGGCTGAGAACTAGATAAAAGAGTTTTTACCCGGGCTTCTAAAGCCACATGAAATTTATAACACAAAAGAAACTGGTCTGTTTTAGACAGCATTACCATAGCACAAACTAATGCATAAAAGTGAAATAGAAGCTGATTTTAGGAAGTTAAAGAACAAGTTACTGTGTTATTAATGTGCAATATGGATGCAATAATAAAGAAGACATCATTGGTTATGCGTATTTCCAAACCCTACCCCACTTTTCGAATTTTTGACGTCACGGAAATATCGACTGGTTTCACCTGGCAAGACGCCTACCCCACTTTTGACTACTACGGCGCGCTTTCGAAAGAATTGTGCTGCTAAATAGTGTGTTTAGGTGCTAATTGTAAGATTTTCGCAATTTAAATTATTATGAGTGGGAATTTACGCAAAATCTTTAGTGAATTCCCAAAATCTGGAAGGTGATACTCGGCAATAAATGTGCTGCATTTCATCGCAAAATTCAGCGACGCCAGTAAAAGTGTTCGAAAAACTTATCCACATCTGAAGCCACTATACAAAAATTGTATGTGTGCCAATACAGCAATTTAAATAAAGAAAACAATTACAGAAAACTTCAGATCAAGGAATAAGAAAGAATTGCAGTGCCTCTATGTGCTTAACAACTACGAAGCATTCTGCAGACTTTCGTGCCAAAATCAAGGTTGACAAATAGATTAATACATTTTAATGTTTCTTTTAGTGTATATATTTCAAAATTATTAAAATAACTTGAACAGTTGTTTAATTGCTTAAAACAGCAATAAAGTTCATTTATAAAGATATACAAGGAACTTCATAATTCATTGCTTTGGTGAACAATTTTACTAAATTACCTAGCTTTATAACATTAAATATCTTCGTAACTGTGGTATTATGCTCTGTTTTATAAAAGCTTAACTACTTTATTCATTTGTTATACATTAAGATATTTTCTGATTTATTTACTAAATGCATAATCAATTATCAGGATTACTAAATGTATTAAGAAATTCCATACATGCTTGTGCAGTGTGAATGCATGTTTGTGTAATGAACTTTGATTTTCATGAACGAAAAAGAAATACAATCTCCGAATAAGTACTTTTTTGTTTTCCAGTTCCTGTGTTTAGCTGTAAAAGTAAATTTACTTCAAGTATGTGTCTGTGCAATTTTGACAATGTAAATGCTGAAATGTATGTACAGTAAAAACTCAACAAAAAAATATGCGGAAAGCTCCTGAAATTTTGGATAGCCGAGAATATAAAAAATAAAATATTGTGATAAGTGAATGGAAGAATAAACTACTAGTCTAAAACCATAAAAACAGTTTATCTTATTTGTATCAACTTGACTATCAAAAGCCAATATTTAATATTATGCACGATTTTGAAAACATGTATGCTGCTGATCTTTGAATATGATAACGGGTGATTTTTACAATGGTTGTTATGGGATTTAAGACTGCAAGTTGAGACTTTAAATATGAACAATAGTAATCTGAAAATTTGAAGTAGTAATTTTATATGCAACAATCTCTGCCAAATAACTTCCATGTTTTAAGTAATTAAAAAAAATATTTTTAACCACTTATTATTAATTTTATAAAGTACATTCCTAATTTAAATTTTATTTACTTTCATCTATTTTAATGTTTGCCATTATAAATTTCATACTATGTACTATTTTAAGATTTAATAGTTGCTAATTAAGCGAACAGAACAGGGTTTTTTTTCCTGACTTTCTTTACAATTTATTTAGTTATTTTATACATACATTTATATTTTATGTAAGAAAGGGATTTATGTGCAACAGATATACAGTGAAAATCATTTAACACAAAACTGAGGGGACTGAAATATTTTTTCGTGTTAAAGAATATTGAAAAGAAAAAAAAAGCATATATTCAACAAAATTAAGCTTATTAGAGTACATTTTATTTACATAGATATGTATGTATGCATGTATTTAATAAAAACCAATGAAACAAAAACATCCACAAGAACTTAATGGAATTTAATACAAAATTTTGAAGTTTTTGAAAAACAAAACATTGAGTTTTGGGAAAATAATCTGATATTTTTCTTTGCATTGTCTTTTTTAGCATCAAATTGTTCAATGTTGAATGCCGTCCATTTTGTTATTCATTTAACCATTGGAATGTGCGTCTAAATAATTTAACTGTCCATACTTTTTATGATGTTCCTCATTTCAGATGACGTGGGAACCAGGAACTGCATTATTCATTTTATTTTCGTCATCAGAATCTGCATCAATGATATCTTTTTTAGCTTTGAGCTGAACAAACTCCAAAATAACTTTGTCTGCCATAATTGGGGCTGTACACACACAACGAATTCTTCCGATAGTACAGTAGGACAGTTCATTAATACAGAAACTTTCTCAAACATTTCATAAAGTGTCAGC